AGTACCAGCAGCAGCAAGGGGTCCAGCCCGTGCCAGCGCGGGCCCCATCGCCACAGGTGAGCCTGCTCCTCCCTGTGCCCTCCTCCCGTGTCCCGCTCCTGCTTCTCCAGATCTCCCTCGTCGCTAGTCCTGCAGGTCTCTTCAAGGACTCCCTCGGGGCTTTTCTGTCCGTCCCTCTCCCCCAGGTCCCTTCCGAGCTTTCTCTCCCCCACTGACCTCGAGCCGCTTCCACCTAGAACCTCTGTCCTTGTGCTCATCCAAGGCAGACGGGTGACCAGTTGTTAAACCCGGTACAGGGCAGAGGAGCCACGTCCGGACGCCCCGCCGGGGAGCGGCGGCAGAGGCCGAAGCAGGAGTCCGACTGCGTCCTGCTGTAGCCCCGCCTGGTGCCAGGCTGCCGGCCTCTCCTTCCAGAGGCTCTGGCTGTTGTGCTTGCTCCCCAGGCCGACCCCTGAGGTGTGCAAGGTCACTTATGTGTGGTCCGTGGGGGATCAGAGCAGGCAGTCAGTGCCAAGGTCAGACTCGGTGACATCCTTGCCCTCACGTGCTGCCGCCTCCTCTTCCTCTCCATCAGCCAGGGCAACAGTGGGGCTCGTGGGGTGAGGACTTGTGATTCCCAGCTCCCTTTTCCCCAGCGCATCGCACTAATGCACAGACTCAGGCTCCAGGGCCAGGGCCCTGTCTAGACTGCAAGTCTCCTACTTGCCGCCCCTGCCGGCAGATCCTCCTGACCACCCCCCAGGCCGGCGGCCTTTGTTTCAGGGTTTGATTTGGGTTTCTATCTCCACTGTTTGTAAAGCCTTCCTAGGGGTTTGGAAATAAAACTTGTTTCCTGAGGTCCGTTGTTTGCCTTACTCTGCAGCAACCGGGTTACGTGTTTGACCCGACTGAGTAATGCCAAAGGGGAGAGAGGGGAAAGAGGCCTGTCATTTCTAACAGCGCCAGCAGGGGGCACCAAAGCCTGCTTTTTCCCTTTCTGTTTTTTTGTTTCTCTCTTTGATGCGTCTTCTTTTGGGAAATAGTTCTCTAGTCTGCAGGTGGGTTTCCAAGTCCCCGCTTTTGGACAGATGAATTTGAGGGTTCTGCTCCCTGGTCACTTCCCAGGTAGGCAAGGGGCAGCTGGATCCTCTGCTTGGCTCCCACATCATACAGATAATCCTTTGCTACCTCTTAATCTCGTGCTAGATCCAGTTTCTCGATTATTTTGCCTAAAATTTCCTGGGGAAGAGAGAATGATGTGGGGGCAGGGGAGCCCCCTGGGACAGAGGTTGTTGATAACTGCTGCACTGGAGCCCAAAACAGGATTCCTGTGGAATATCCAGTGCACGTCCAAGGCGCCTCCAACTTCAAGGCCTCCTCCCAGCCCACGTCCTGCCCCACCCAAACTTCAATCAGGGAACACGGACAACAATGAAATTGGCCAAAAGAATTCAGGAATCAGTGAGATGTTCTGCCTTGAGTACAGGATGGATGAGTCGGGCAGAAACCGTCAAGAAGGCCCCATTAGCCCACACCCGAGTCAGAGCCAGGGGACCGAGGTGCGGACATCGCTTTGGGATGAAGGCAATCAAGGGATGTGAAAGACTTTGAGTTCCAGCCTCGATGAGACGCCGGAACACACGGTGCTCAGCGAGGGCTTATCCTGTCTTGGAGGCTCAGCCTTAGCCAAACGTGGGAATCTCAGATCCTTGAATCTCATGTAGGGGTGGGGGGCAGGAAAGTCTCAGAGGTCTTCAGCCCGGCACAGGGCTAGTAGGGCTAACCGGCAGTCCCCCTTCACGGCATCCTGCAGGCAAGAGAGCCAAGTGTTAGAAAGACTCACAGCCACCATGGCCCAGGCACTCCGCCCCTGCCTCGCGGTGGTCCAGAGCTTGTCTGGTGCCTGCAGTCCTACACTGAATTAACCAAAGACTCGTGCATTCTCCAGAGCATGATATGTCCGCTGTGTGCAGGGAGTAGAGTCGAGAGGGGCGGGGCAAAGCCCTGAGGTTCCAGGTTAAGAACTAGCCAAGTCTCACCTGGAGGGAAGAGTAGAGGGATTTCCCAAATTTCTTTTTGTACTCAGCTCGGATGCTTAGAAGGTCAGTCTCACTTCTAGAGATGAGGATACGCATCAGGGCTTGGTTATCGGGCTCAGTTTCCTGGTAGGAGAAGAAACGAGGGGAGGGGTGGCCATGAGATTCTCACGGAATAGGAATTGGACAGCATGGCATGGTAGGTTATTCTAGAAAGTGGACGTGAGGCGCGAGTCCAGAGAAGCCTACGTTATCTAGGGGAAGAGTTCTCTTCGTCCATCCCCATGGAAGATGATGCAGCAGAAAAGGCCAGTCCCTGGGGCACCTGGAGTACTTCCGCTCCCTTCCACATGCCTTTCCTGGCCCTGCCACCAGCTCGGAGCCTCGCTCCTCCGGAGCTGGGTGGTGCTGAAAGCTCCAAACGCAGGTGCTTAAAAAAGGATAAAAGGTCATAAAGACCTTCCAGCATGAAAGCCAGGAAGACTGTTTTTAACTTCCAAGTTAGTGAATGTCCAAGGAGAACGCACCCACCCTCTATGGTGGGGGGCAGGGTCATGTGACTTCCAGTTCTGATCCAGACCCGCCAGGGCTGTCTCACTGCCCCATATTTACACATTAGTTTCTCCCGAAGCCTGGGGTTCAGCATCACTGTCTTCCTCCTATACCTGCTCCAAGCCTCCTGCCTTCTGGTTAAAGGAGATAATGGAGGATTCGGTTTAGAAATAGTCGAGTTACATACAGAACATCATCAAGTCATGAATTATACAACCGATGGTCCTGAGAGATTGGAAAATAAAAACTTTGAGTCACAGATCCTACTTGAGTCGCTAGCTGTGCACTGGTGCCGTCACCGCTTCTTAAAATCCTCTTTTGCAGGGTTTCCTCGAGCGCTTGACTCATGTGACCTTTCCCGGAACCACCTGCAACCCTCACTCACGCCATCCCCACACATAAACTCCCGCGAAGAAGCAAAAGAAAACGACCCCGCGGAAACAGGATGCTGTGTTCCACTTGGACTCGTTTACCTAATCGTCAGTGGGCTTGAGGGCTATTTTCTTTTAAATATCACGTATCACCAATTTTGTACCGTGCCAAAGATGGCAGACCGTTCTCCAGTATCCGTTCTGCCCTTCTTCCAACTCTCGTTACTCCAAAGTCGTAGAATTGGTGCAAGAGCTGTTAACCGGATATTCCCATGGGTGCACAAGCACCTTCGCCAAACCCACATTAAACATAAATCGAGTCTTGAGAGTGCACTTGGCATCACATACTGCCCCAGGATCTTTAAAATGAACGTTCATTTTATGGTTCAGATTGGTCCAAATTTGTCTCGAATCAGCCTTCACCGAAGGCCATTTTTCTGAATATTCTTCACGATCTCTTTTTTTTTTTTTTTTTACACCTCTCTCTTAAAATAGTACAGAAGTATCCTGACTGAGTTTATCCTTTTAAAAAATTTTCGGAAAAATAAGTCTATATTACTTTTCAAGTCCTACTTCTAAGATACATCTGACATGGACATCCAAGAATGTGGGTCCTATAATTCAAATACGAACATTACAATTATTTACTGCTGGGTACAAATTTGTTTTTCCGACAGCAAATTAGACAGATAAGCCCGACTCCTCAAATGAATCTCAGTGTTGACTCATTATAATAGTACAGGCTTTATCGGGCGAGCACAATAATCCGCTGTCAAAATGGAAATCTCTGGATGATGAAACAAGTAGTTACACGCACTGTCTTTTGAACAGCTGTCCACAAAGCATGATGGAGTGTCGACCAGAAAACAAAAAGCGATTCCACCTGCCGAATGATCACTAAGTTTATCTTCTCCAAAGTTTCTGTGAGTTTTTGATTTATGGGATTTTGGGGACAATTATACTAATAGGAGACTTAGCTTGATGAGCAGATTGACTGGATTCTGTTTAACGAATGACTCAAACCACGGTCACCAGTTTAATTATGGATAGTATGGGACAAAGTCTGACCAGTGTGGAGAAGGGTAACCCTATAACTCACGGTATAGCTTATGGTAAGGTGTTTGGAGGTGCTATTGCAGGCTCAGTTTCATACCACCGTAAAGCAAATATCCCACTAAAGCAAGTCACACAAAATTTTGGGTTTCCTAGTGCACATAAAAGTTACATTTACAGTATACAGTATACTGTAGTCTGTTAAGTGTGTAATAGCGTTATGTCTAATGAAACAATGTATATGCATTAATTTAAAAATACTTTCTTGCTAAAAAATGCTAAACATCATCCAAGCCTTCAGCGAGTTGTAATCGTTTTGCTGGTGGAGGGTCTTACCTTCAGTTTGTAAAAATCACAATATCTGTGAAGTAGAATAAAATGAGGTCCTCCCGTATAGCCCAACACCTACAGTACAGACCAGGAGTGACACATGGCACTTAAGTGTCCCATAGAGCCCTTATGTGTTTCGTAGGGAGACTATAAGACTCAATATCTGTGTGACCTTAGACAAGGTACTTACCTCTCTGTGCTTTGTCTACAAAACAAGGATGGAGGATTAACTAAAATGTGCACCGTGTTCAGCATAGGTCCTGGCACACACCGAGCACCTGAGAAATGCTGGCTCTTGTCATTCTTGCTGGCGTTATCATCATACCATTCTGGTGACAACTAAACCGGACACGGCATGGTCTCCCAGAGCAAATTCATATCCATACGTGGCCATTTCGATATTAATCAGGCCAAAATTTGAGCTCGTGTGACCTTTAGGGTCAGCTACCTGAGCTGTACCCACAGCTCGCTCCTCTGCTCTTGTAAACCCAGGAAGAGAGCTGCCGTGCATGTGTAGAGATGTGACATTAGCAGCGTGACACTTCCTCTCTCTTGCCCAGGAGGTGCCTCCCCACCCCCACCCAGTTTTTGTTCCAAAGGGAGGGAAAAAGGTCAGTCAGCCTGCTTCAGTGCCCTCTCACCTGGAGGGCTTCATGCAGTTTATTGGCGAAGTACAGCGGTGTGTTCCTGATCACCGAGGCTGGAAGCAGAGAGGGAGAGATGGAGGGTGGCGGCCCTAAGGCCAGGGACCCCCCGGCCCCGCGCATCCGGAGCAGGCCCTACCTAGGCTGAGCAAGGCTATCTGGGCATCTCCATGGAAACGGTCCCGGACAGTGCGCTCCGGCGCGTGCCCGGTGCGCCGCTGGTACTGATCAAACACTTGTGGTGTGCAGGGGAGGCCATGGGAAAGATAAACGGGGCGGGTTGATTATCACAGAGGGGAGGGGCCCCCTCTCCCCACTTCCTCAGCCAGCGGTCATCGCCAGCGCAAGCTGGGGAGATAGGGAGGCTCGCGTGTACCTCGGATGAGGTGTTCGGGGTTTCGCTGGGTGAGGATGAGGACCCACGTCTCCTCCGAGCCGGGTTGGTCAGCCTGCTTCAGTGCCTGGGCAGGAGGAGGAGGTCAGGGCCATGTTACGATGTCGCCAGAATCCATCACGGTGGAAATGGGATTAAGGGTGGAAAAGTGATTTTAACGTGTAGATTAGTTGCTTTTATTTATGATTTTAAAAATATGGGATAGGACCAAGAGAGGGGCTCTGCCCTCACGGCGTGATCCCCCAGTTTGGGAAATCCTGGCACAGTAGTTAAATATTCCGCAAGGGAGCGGGAGATGGGGGGTCTCCCACCCAAATGCCCATGAGAGCTGACGAACGCACTTCCTATGAGTTCAGGTGTCAGAGGCTAGACAGGGAAAAGGCTTCAGCTGTGACACGACCAGACATCCCACGGCCCCTCATGCTTGAGGACTCCTTCCCCAAGGCAAGGACGGGTCCGTAGGACAAATGGGCACACGGGCTGATGGCTCTAAGACGCGGGACAGGAGGGCGTCCTGTGTGCTCAGAATGCAGACTTCTCGGTCCCTGCTCACCTGGACATCCTGTTCTGCCAGGTGGTAGTCAATGACTTCAGAGCAGCTCTCCCGGTCCCCCTAGGAGGAAAGTAGGAGGAAGGTCTCAGGAGGACTCTTCGAGGAGCAGCTTTTTAGCCCCGGGCCAACGAACCAAACCCAGTCAGCCCGCAAGCCTTCTCTTGTCCATTACACACAACGATTCTCTCGATTTGGTCCCACCCCCCTCCCAGGTGCTGTCACTCCCTTCCCCTGCAGGCCGGGCCTCCTCACCTTGGCCAGGGCTAGGAACAAGTCCTGCAAGGTGCCACTGGTCGCAGACTTGATGTCCTCCTCAGCCTCCACCTGGAAATCTGGGGTGGGGTCAGGAGCCTTCTGAATTCTCCTGATGTTTGCCAGCGTGGCTGCCTCTAGGACCCGTCAAATGCCTGACCTCTGTGCCCTGCCAACCCTGCCATCCCCTGCTTGCAGTAACTTGAGGGCTACTAGTCCCCAGGATGGAAGGCAGAAGCACCATCATGGCCACCACAAAGCACGTCTAAGGCGTGAGCACCCCACGCGCTGTGGGATCCGCACTGTGCTGTGGCCTCGTCTCCAGGCGCCGACCTGCTGCGGGCAGCAGACATCTGTTACTCCGGTGGGGGCCGGACAGCGGAGAGGAGACAGAGAAACCCATAGCATGAGGCAAGACGGCCAGGGCCTGGCTGTCACCCGAGGTGAAGAGAAGTCATGTAGGAGGCAGGATGCCACCAAGGGAAGAGAGCGGGGAAGGGAGAGAGGTAGGGGAGGGGTGAGGAGGCAGCCCGGAGAGGACATCCAAGGACATGGGGGAGCAAGAAAAAGCGGGGGTGGGGGCGGGGGGGCTAAGACGAGGGTGAGAAAAAGCTAGTTCCCTCCCGATTAGCGGTGGGGAGGTATGTGACAGCCAAGCCCGGCCACCTGCCAGGGGCCTGGGAGGTGACACCGGTGACTTAGAAAGCAGGTCCCCACCTCTCCCTCCAGCTGCAGCAAGATTCCACTCAGCCCGGGATGCATCAGCAGGGGTTGGGAAGATGACAGGCGGACCCTTGGGACTGCCACAGAGCCCCAGTCATCATTACCCCGGAATCTGCCCTGAAGCCCCAGACGAAGATGGCTAATGGTTGCTTCTCCTTCTTTAATGATCGCATCTGGCCGTCTCCCCTGGGGAGACTGAGGGCTGGAGGGACGGAGGGTGGAGGAGGGAGAGAGAGCTCCAGGGGACAGAACGTGGGCAGACGGGATCCCAGAGAGCTGGCCTGGGGAGACGGCAGGGGAGGAGGGGACTATCCCTTGGGTTCCCTTCCAGCCCCTAGAGCCCCACTCTCGGCTCTGACCGTGTTTGTAGACCGCCAGGCACTCCTGCAGCTGGGGTGGAGCGCGGGTAGCAAGAATTTCCACGATCACCTCGTTGGCAGGACCTGAGTCCTGCAATAAATCGAGACACCACTCTGAGATCGGGCCATGCCATTAGGGTGGCAGAGAGCAGATGCGGACCGTGTGGCCATCTGAGGGTCAGTATAGGATGTGAAAGGGGCCTCTCCTCTGGGCGACGGCAAGTCCCTCGGCCCGCTCCGTCCCTCAGCACTGTCCTCGCTTTCCAATGACCCAACGAGCCTCCTCTCCTGGTACCTTCAAGGCTGTCCTCAATTCCTGGGCATCGAAATGGGCTGCTGGCCGCAGCAGAGCCACCACAATCCTCTCGAGGTTGCCGGACAGTGCTGCCTGCAGGGACGTCAGCAGGTCCTGCAAGGGGTCCCCATGATAGAGGAGTGAGGGGGAGGGGGAGGCCCATTGTGCGGGGAGGTTTGGGAATAGTTGGCTGGTTTTCATCTCAGGCCTGAAGCACCGCCTCCCAATTTAACCAGGGGGCAAGACTGGCCCACGATTGCTGCACCCCGAGTCTGCTCACCCAGGGGCTTCTCACCCCAGCCCACCGCTCCTGCAGAGTCAGAGTGGCCTCACCTGTTGGGTGCGTTCCTGGAAGGCTCGAGAGATGACCTGCCTTTGCTCTTTGCTCCGATTGGTCAGCACATCCACAATGGCGTGGCGGTCCACCCCTGAACCGAGACAAGGGCTGGACTGAATGGTGGACAGACCCCAGCCGGGGTCTTTACAGGGCCGGGAGCCCCTTGCTCCTCAGATCTGAAGAGGACAAGATCTAGGAAAAGGCTGGAGGGACGGGAGCAGAGGTGCCATCGCCCCGCTTCCATTCAGTCTCGAAAGAAGATGCAAATAAGATACCCAACGGCATGCAAATCTGACCCACGTTTAGGCAAAGGGGGCCTGCGTGATGGGGAGAAAGTGGCTTTTGGGGATCGGCAGACTTGGGTTAGAATCCCAGCTGTGCCATTATGAGCCGTGTGACCTTGGGCGAGCCTCTTCACCTCCCTAAGCCCGTTTCCTCATCTGTAGAATGGAAATCATGAGACAGCTCCCAGGGTGTTGTGGGAACAGCTGTGACACACCAGGTGTGGTACGTGACCTACAGGAATTAAGGCATTCCACAGCTCTTTGTCGAGAGCGTGGGTTCCTCCGTCCTGGCCCTTTCTCGGTCCACAGACCAGTTTCTAAAAGATGGATCCTCAAATGCAGAGGGAGAGGGGCCTACCTTGGCCTGCGATGGCCCTCAGTAGCCTCTGCACATCCTTGTCCACGCTGAAGCTCAAGAAGGTCCTGAGGGTGCCCAGGGTCCCCCAGGCCGCAGTCTGTAAGAACAAGGGGGCAGCACTGGTCTGCCCGCCTCCGGGCACCGCCTGGCTCCCCCGGAGCCCATGGTGTGGCCCAGGGCCTGCTCCCTTCCCCCATCCCTGGCCCTCATAGCCCCTGAGTCGGTGGAGTAAAAATGACCCGTCCAGGCCCGGCAGCCCTACCTTGTTGGCAAGGCCCAGGTAGCTGAGGATCTCTTGGGTCAGGGATGGTCTCGCTTTCCTGCTGGTCACTGACATGGTGTGACTGGCTGCCCTAAGGGAAACAGGAGCAGCTCAGGGGACCGTCCCACAACCCGGCCTCCTTATGACCCACCGGCCGAGAGCCCGGGCTCCCATCACTCCATTCCCTTGTCGCAGGAGGAGAGGACGTTAACCTGCTTGGCAGGTCTGGGAGCCCAAGTGGTGGGCTGGGAGGGGAGCCGTCGCCTTCCCCACCTCTCACCTCCCTCGGGAAGCAGGGACTGGTCAGGGAGCTGCCAGAACCAGCACCAAACAACCTCCCGCCCCCCACTCCGGGGCTGGTCCCAAGGCCCCCCAACCCTGGGCCCGAGGGGAGGGGAGGGGAGGGGAGGCGGCAGGAGTAAGTCTCGGGGGTGGGAGCCAACCCCTAGCAGCACAGGCTCCCCTCCGCCCCAGCCCCCCAGGCTGCCTGCCTGCCGCCCGCCTCTCACCCTTGGCGTCTCTGGCTGGGGTTCCTCTATCAGCAGGTGCAGCTCCTGAGCTGGTGTGAGTCTGTGTCCTCTCACAGGGACATGGGTGCCTAGACAAGGGAGCAGGGAGCAGGTTCTCATGCGAGAAAGAAAAACTCCCTCCACCTTCCCCCAAACTACCCACAGGGTCCCCCACCCCCAAGCCCAGTGCTTACCCAGAGGTGCTGGGGGTGAGGTGGGTGTCTCACGGCCGGGTGGCACGTCTGTGTGGGCACCAGCTCCCGTGTGGCCTGGCAGAGGAGAGGGGGGCATGTGCAGCCAGGCCGAGCGGCCAGTCAGGTGACCTCTCTAGCAGACCGGCCCAGCTGTCGCCTCCAGCTCTGGCCCCTCCCAAACGTGGGAGAGGACCAGGCAGTACCGGGCCCCACAAGCAAACGCCTCCCTCCCGAGCATCCCTGCGCCCAGGACCGGGCCTCGGCCCACGCCTGAGCGCTCCACCAAGCCTCTCGCGGCCGCGCACACAGGAGGCTTTGTGCTCTGCTCTCCCGGCGGAGCCAGGTGGGACCATAGGAGCCAGTCTCTGAGTCCAGCTTCTGACCTGGCTATGCCTCTGGCTCCAGCTCCCCGAGGGGCAGGTCAGACAGGCTCCAGGCTGATTTCAGGCTGATAGAGAAAAACCAGTTGGGGCGCATACCAACAAGGCACCCCAGCCTGCTTCCAGAAGGGGTCCCAGCCCAGAAACTCCCTCGACTACTGCCTTATTAGAGGCAGCCAGCCTGGGTGGGGACCGCCAGGGGACTTTTATACCTGTGGGGAAGGAAGGGCGCAGGCATTCAGGGGTGGGAGCAGATTAGAGTCAGGAGAGAAAAACGCGAAGGGTGTTCCCTGCGGACAGAAGCACCGCGCTCCCACGAGGCAGTGGGGAGATGGGTTGGCCCCCTGGATCCCTGTGTCCTCGGTCCCTTCTGCTGTCTTTCGGCTGCCGGGACTGTTTTGGCAGCCGGTGACGCAAGCCCGACAGCTGGGGTCGGTACCGTCAGTGCCCAGAGCAGCAGGTAAGCAGTCTTGGGCGCCTCAGGGGCCCCCCAGCAGGCAGTCACTTCGACCTCACAGCCAGCTCCCTAGGGCCTTCCTGCCTCCCTGAAGAGGTCAGGTGGGGGCTGGGCACGGACACTTAGAGAGCTGTCTCCATCCCTCTGCCACCATCCCAACCCAGGAAGGCCCTCACTGGGTTTCCTACCTGAGGGGGACCTTCAGCTCTTCCAGAGAGCAGACCGGGGCTGAGGAGATGCCAGGAAGGCATCCACTGCTCCTCACTTTTTCTCTCCTGCCAAAGCGGAAAACGTGCACTGGTTTTTGCTGGACACCGTGGGTTCGGTCCCTACTTGCTATGTTCTGTAGCCACAGCCAGTCATTTTAGGGACACCTGAGGGTAGGTTCCTGGGTGGATTAAATCATGAGGTAACACGTGATGGCATCTGACAGACAAGTGACTCATAAACGACGGTCACCAGATTTAGTAAATAAAAATACGAGATACCCCATCAAATTAGAATTTCAAACAAATGACAAATAATTTGTTGGCATTAAGTATGACCCAAGTATTCATGGGGTATACTTACGCTAACAAATTATTTGTTGTTTGTTTGAAATTGTAGTTTGACTGAGTGTCCTGTATTTTACCTAGTAACCTGAAAAATGAGACTTAGTTTCGGAATGGTTAAAGAAAAAGTTCTAGAGCTGGACTCCTAAGACTCAGAAATCTGGTCTGCTGTGTGACCGTAGCAATTACCTTAACTTCTCTGTGCTGTTTTCTCATCAAAATGGAGTTAATAATAGTGTTTCTATTATGAGAATTAAATCAATACATGTAAAGCACTTTAGAAGACCGCCGGGCACAGAGTGGTAAGTACACATGTCACAGTGTTCGCTAATATATAATAATAAATGTTGCTATCATGTTATTTTACAATGATAACTGTTATTAACTTGTCTCCCTAGGAAGTCCAACCTTGGCTCTCTTTTGCGACTTCTTTCCTGCCAATCCCCCATCTGGCCACAAGAGGGCATCAGCTGCCACCGAGAGCAGAGAGGGCCCTAGTGGCCACCCGAGGTCTGCAAGGCTCTGGTCCCACACAGATCTCAAAGCCCCTCTGCGTTTCCTCGTTGAGAAGTGCAGATGTCCTGAAGACTTCAGGTTCCTAGATGGACTTAGTGGGCAGGAGGGTCAGGGGAAGAGCCCCAGGTAGACATCTGACACTCAAAGGACCCCCCCTTGAGACTGACCTCAGGGCATCGGTAGACTTGCTAGGCAGGGTTACTGCAGGAGTTGCAGTGGCTCCACAGCCGGGGTCCCCTGCTTTCTGCTTTCTGTACCCTTCAGAGTTGCTTCTGGGCACCAGTCCCAAGTAGGCTTAGAGGAGCATGAAGTGGGAGAGAGGGCTCTTGTTTCCCCAAGTCCAAACCTCTGCAAGGGCCTCCTGGCTGACCTGCAAGGCTGAACTCTGAATTTGGAGAAGGCAGGCAGATCCCCAGTCACGCGGCAGAAGCATAATCCTCGTTGCCTAGGAGTGTGCGTGATGCCTTTACAGCCGCTCCACTGAAACTCGGTGGAATCACTTCTTTTGTCTCTTGGTTTCATTTTGTTCAACTCCAGGGCCAGATTGAGGTCGTTTTCAGGTTGACTAGTCACCTTCCACCCGCATGCCCTAAACTGTAGAATTTCAGAGTCGGAGGAGATCTCAGAGATGACCTGGTCTGCCACCCTCTCTTACTGGCTCATGGGAGCTGAGTTCCCAAGGCCATGGTGTTGGAACCAGAATCCAGTCTCCTTATTTCTTCTCAGCATTTTCTTCCTCACTCAGAGCGGGACGTGGCTTATTTGAGTCCCTCTTCGTGGAATACATAGGGACACGCAGTAATACATGGAGCCTCAGCTGTTGACGCACGTACACCTCTTCAGCTCTGAACTCCACCTTGCTTTTCTGCAAATACAGTCACGGGTCGCTTGGCAAAGAGGATAAGTTATGAGAAATGCATGGTTAGGTGGTTTCGTCGTTGGGTGACATCATAGTGCGCGTCACAAATGTAGATGGTCCAGCCCACTCCACACAGGGCTAGATGGGACGGCCCATTGCTCCTGGGCTACCAGCCTGCACAGTACATCACTATACTGAGTACTACAGGCAACTAACAACGGTGAGTTTGTGTGTCTACACACATCGAAACATAGAAAAGGTCCAGTAAAAATGGGCGTAAAAGATATAAAATGGAACATCTGCATGGGGCGCTTACCATGAAGGGAGCCTGCAGGACTGGGGTCGCTCTGGGTGAGTCAGTGAGTGAGGGGTGAGTGGATGTGAAATGACTGGGAGGTGACTGCTCTGCTAGAGACTCTATAAACGCTGTACACGTAGGTGACACTACATTTATTTTTAAAATTTTCTTTCTTCGGTAATTAACTTTAGCTTACTGTAACCTTAGCTTACTGTTTTTTTTTTTTTTTTTTTACTTTACAAATGTAAAAAAAATTTTTTTAACTTTAAAATGTTTAAAAACTTTTTGGTTCTTTTATAATCACACTTGGCTTAAAATACACACACATTGTATAGCTGGACAAAAATATTTTCTTGCTTTTTCCCTTATTCTATAAGATTTTTTCTATTAAAATTTAAAAAAAAATTAAAAAACTTTTTTGTTAAACCTAAGACACAAACAAACACACAGGTTCGCCCGGGCCTGCACAGTGTCAGAATCATCAGCATCACCGGCTTCCACCTCTATGACCTTTCACTGAACGGTCTTCAGGGCTGATAACATCTCCCGAAGGACCTGGCAGAGGCTCTTCTCGAGGTGTCCCTCTTTTCAGAAATATGTCCATGGTGGTTTGCTTACTTTCTTTTTTTTTCTTTTTTCTTTTTCTTTTTCTTTCTTTTTTCTTTTTTTTTTTACCATAGATTTCCTTGTGAGCAGATGTGTGGGGAAAAAAAAGAAACAGGCCAAAATGGAGTCACTTTTGCTAAGCTACAGTCACCAAACCAAAACTTAATAACTGACCTAATTGCAGTTTCGGCTTCTCCCAGCCTTGGAATTTTAAATCATTCGGTCTGACATGTCCTCATCAACTTTAGCAGAGTAATCTTGCCTGATAAAGACCCTCTACCCCGCCCCAGCCTTCCCCTGAAGGAGAATGTCCTGGCCTGAAATAATCCACTCTTTTAACTTCTTAGTCCCACCCTCTTAGTGCCTGTGAAAACCTTGCATTTCCTGCTGCCCCTGGAAGCTCCCTTCTAGTTGCTGGAGGGGACGCTGCCTCACTGTCAGTGGCTTAATAAAGCCCATTATTAGGTCTTCAGATTTACTCAGTTGGATTTTGTTCTTTAACACAGATAATGCACCATAAACATTCTTCTCTGTGAATGAAAACCTTTTGGTGTTGGGGGTCCATGTTTTCAAACGTTTTAAGGAGCCTGTTGAGCTCTGCGAAATCTTCTGCAAAACCCTTCACCGAATATTGGGAGTTCTTTTTCCTCTGAGAAGATCCAGTTTCCACAACTGGGGTCCATGCCTCCGCCCATCCCAGAAGCCTGCTCAGATACCTAAACCCCAGGCTGAAGGCCTCCGGACACCTCAGCAGCCGTATAGAGGAAGTGAGTCACAGCAAGGCAGGCAGCTTGGGGCACTGTGGGCGTGGCCATACCAATCTGGGCAGTGGGGGATGGGTCACAAGGGCGGCATTCAAAACCTCCTGGTCCAGCCCAGGCTGTGTGTGTGCCCACGCGCCTGTATCCTGATTAAGCTGACAGAACTGGTAGCATCATTCTAATGTTGCCTGAGGCTGGGTTTCCTCTTCTCTACCCACCTCCTCCTTTGTCTCCTGGGGGAGGGGTACACCCCCTTATCTTTATTTCACAGGCCTTGGCAATCTAACTTCTGTCCCCAAACTTCCCTCCCCTCTGTTATCTTTACAGCAAGTTAATTGGTCTCCAGTTCTCAGAGGATTCGTTGAAAAAGTCTGGTGGGGAACTTGGGAAAGCCTGGCTGTTAGGAAAACTGACTGATGAAAAGATTCAGAAGCCAAAAGAGAGGGCCAACTAGGACAGAGGTGTGGGGAGGAGTTAGAGACAGACGGAAGGCTAGCTGGGGCCCAATGAGGAGACACGTGGGAGAAGGTGTGTGGGTGGAGAAGGGCTGGCTCTGGGGACCGCTCAAGACAGGGAGAGGGAAGTCTGGAATTGGAAGGCTGAAGGTGTGTGTGGGGAGGGAGTTACAAAGGGGTCGAAAATTATAAAATTTGCTAATAAGGGAAGAGTTCAGAATGGGACAAAGGAAAACAGGGCTGGAGGCTGGGAACGAGAACTGGCAGATCTGGGGCTAAAAAAGGCTGGAGTCCCCTGGGTGGGTTCAGGAGGAGGTGGGTCACCGCGTGGGACAACAGGTCTGGGTTCTCTGGTGGTGGGCCTAGGCTGGGGTGCCCCTGCCAGAGCAAATGAACAAACCGGCTGGAAGTCATTCAGCTTCCGCCTCTCTGGTTCTCCAGAAAGAGCTATAAGTGAGGTCCCAGCCCTCCAACTGGATTAGTGTGTGTGTGTGTGGGGGGGGGCACACTCCTTCCTGTCAGCACTTGAACTTGACTAGATAAACCATGGAATGAGCGGCTGTCAGAGGTTCTGTGATTGTATACAAATGGCAACATTTCATCAATATAAAAAACTAAGTTGCCTCTACATGGAGCAGGCTGTAGCTCTCTCTGAACAAACCCCAAACACATCTTGCTCCTTCGGCATCCTCGCTAGGAGTCAAGGACAGTTTTCCAGAGTAAACATGTTGCATCTTACTGAAACATCAGTTTTACCAGACTCCGAAAAAAACATTTTTTTGAAAAGATGAATTTGAACACGGATAAACGTGATGTAGATTGAAAGCTCTAAAAGTGGGGGGCTGGCTCTCTCGGAGCACACGGGGAGGGTATGAGTGCCGCTGCCGTGGGCCGTATGGCTGCTGGGTGGGAGCGTTGTGGTTTTACGGCGAGGGTGGGGACGCCCTAGGGGTCGCGGGCTCTGCGCTGGGAAGGGCCGGCTGCCGGGGTCGGTCCTGGGCGT